ATCCCATCAGAACTGGTTTACACCTTTACTTTTAGAACCCTGAATTTCTAATTTATTCTTAAAATAATCTTATGATTCTCCTAACTAAGTTTTAAATAAGTATCATTTTAAAAGTTTTAAAACTATATAATAAAATTAGTCTTGATATTTTACTATTCTTGGATATTTGGTTTAGAAGTTTTAGATTTTGATTATGAATGCTTCTAATCAATTTTAATGATATTCATGTTAAATTTTATTCATTTTTAATAGGATTTAGAAAATGAGATTAAATTATCAGTGCATAAGAAAAAAACTAATTTTAATTTTTAAGAATTATTTATGTTATGTTAGAAACTTGAAATCATCTTTTATTGTTCTTGATGTCTCTAGTGATGTAACCAAGAAGAATTTTTAGATCTTTTCAATTTTTACAAATGTAAAGGAGTATAAGAACTAGTTTATAATTTGTACTTTTTATTATGTTTTTACTGATTTACATGCTAATGTGTTTTATTGTTATGCTTTCTATTTGATGTTAAAATATTTTTACATTATCTTATATATTTAATAATGTTAAAAACTGATCAATGCGACTAAACCACATCGATCCGATTTAAGTTGGATTGGTTTAGTTATGATATAATAGTGGATTGTATTGGTTTAAAAATTTTATTAATTGATTAAATTGGATTGATTTAAAAAATATTAAAATATGAACCAAACTACATCGCAAACACCCCTGGTTCTTTATATGTTTGCCTTCTGTAGCACTGAAAACATATCTAAGTTTCTTTTTCTTTTTTTTTTTTTCGGTGCCTATAGGGTGAAGAAAGTAAGGGATGATAGGCTGAAAAAAGCAAAGAAAGTTTGAAAGTATACTGAACTTGTATTAACACACTGATCATTTGGTGTACAAAGGATGTATATATATTTACAGAAAAATTGATTGAGACTATAATTATGCTTTACATTAAGGAAGGCTCAATGGCACGTTATTTGACCGTTGCTTTTGAATATGATTTGCCCCTGATTTGCTCCTGATTTCCTGCAATTGTTTCCATATCTTCTGAGCTATCTTTCTCGCTTGATTCATGCTTTGACAGCTCCAATTGCTGTGATTTCTCCTTTTTCTTCATACTCCCCCTTCAAACTGGAGTGGGGTGAAGCAGCCACTCCTAGTTTGAATCGAAAGAATTGAAATTGTGGTTGAGGTAGCGGCTTTGTAAGTATATCTGCTAGTTGTTCAGTGCTAGGCATGTATCTCATCACCAATGTACGAATTGCCACTTTCTCTCGAACAAAATGGTAGTCTAATTCAATGTGTTTGGTTTGAGCATGAAAGACTGGATTAATAGACATATGGAGAGCACTTATGTTATCAGAAAATAGTTGAGGAGGAGAGAGCAACGAAATTCCAATATCACGAAGAGGATATGTGATCCATACTATCTCAACTATGGTGGAGGCTAGTGCACAGTACTTTGCTTTAGCAGTTGATCGTGACATAGTTGGCTGCTTTTTGGAAGACAATGATATACAATTTTCTCCAAGAAAAATGCAGTATCTTATTGTGCTTCTTCTTGTAGTTGTACAACCAGCCCAATCGGCATCGCAAAAACCTATTAAAGATAAGGTGTTGCAAGAGTAAAAACAAAGACCATCGTGTAGTGTACCCTTTATGTATCTTAGGATGTGCTTAACATGGCGGAGGTGGGCAAGAGTGGGGTTCTACATAAATTGGCATACTTTATTCATAGCATAGCACATATCAATTCAAGTGATAGTCAAATATTGGAGAGCACCAACAATTTTCTTGTATTCTTTTGCATCAACCGGTTTCGTGTCTCTTGAAGTAGGATTTTCTTTGATAGCCAATGGAGTTGTAATTGTGGAAGCCTCAAGCATTGATGTCCGGCTAAAAAGATCATTGGTGTACTTTCCTTGTGATAGGAAGATGCCTCCATCAAATGTGGTGACCTGTATTCCAAGAAAATAGTTAAGAGTGCCAAGGTCTTTGAGTGCAAATTCTCCACTAAGATGATCAATGATTTGTTGTAGAAGCCTTGTTGAACTTGAAATAATGACAATGTCATCAACATAGAGGAGAAGTAAAGCAGTGCCTTGGTTGGTATGAAGTATAAACAGAGAGGAGTCTACTTGGCTACACTTAAAACCCATTTTCAAAAGATGCAAGGTGAAAGTATCAAACCATGCTCTCAGGGCTTGTTTGAGCCCATAGATGGATTTATTGAGCTTGCAGACATAGTTAGGATATCTTGGGTCTTCAAAGCGTGGTGGTTGAGTCATATATACTATTTCTTTAAGTTTTCCATGAAGGAAGGCATTCTTCACATCTAATTGCCGAAGAGACCACGTAAGGGTGGTGGCCAATGCTATAACTAAGCGGAGTGTAGTTGGTTTAAGGACAAGGCTAAAAAAAGAAGTAGCCCTTTTATTTGTAGACTTATGTTTTTGTACAAAGAGAGAACACCAAAGATTTTCAATTTAGACATTGATGTTATTTCAAACAAAGGTGGTAAAACTTCTATCTAAATTTACACAATTGAAATGCTATAATACCAGCCAATATGCTATAAATAGGGCTAAAAGGCTTGCTGTTCTACCTTCTTGGTATATACACATTCTTCAGGTGCTCATTCTATCTCCCTGTAAGCTCTGAAAATGGTGCAAGCTGACTTCCTGTCGTGGAGTACTCTAACTTACTGAAGGAAGGAGGCATTGCTGGCCAAATAAACGAGGGCCTCTCAAGGGGCACCTGAGGAGGCTCTACCTCCCCTGTAAGAACCTGCAGAACAGTCTTCATAGAGGGCCTGTAATTCGGGTTTGGGTGGCAACAGGCCAACCCCAGAATCAGCACATACTCCATTTCTTCCTCCCCAAACTTCCCTTCCATTCTGGGATCTGCGACATCAACTATCCTTCCCTTCTTGTAAAGATCCCATGTCCAATTCACAATGCTGCCATTGTCAGTGTCCTCTTCATTTTGGTTCCCAGGTTTTCTCCCACAGACAACTTCCAGCAGCAGAACACCGAAGGAATAAACATCTGTTTCCACAGTTGCCCTGCTGATCAAGAGAGTCTCTGGCGCCATGTAGCCAGGGGTTCCAGCAATCTCTAGGGTGGAATGGTGGGTTTTTCCCTCATCTTGAATTGTTCTGGCCAATCCAAAATCACCTAACTTGGCATTGAATTCTGAATCCAACATGATGTTGCTCGATTTTATGTCCCTGTGAAGCACCCTTTTCTGAGAGCCGTAGTGGAGATACTCTAGTGCCTGAGCAACGCCATTTATTATGCTAAGCCTTGTTTCCCAGTTGAGCGTCAAGTCCTGCCGGCTGTCATCAGAAAATATGAACTTGTCGAGGCTCCCATTTGGCATGTACTCATAAACAAGTAGGAGCTCTCGGCTTTCGTAGCACCATCCGGTCAGCTTCACCAGGTTTTTGTGATTCAAGTTGCCGATTGTTGTAACTTCTGCTACAAATTCTTGCTTCCCGGATTTTTTGGAGACCCTTTTAACAGCTATTTCCTTATTTCTCCAGATGCCCTTGTAGACCGTCCCGAATCCCCCTTTTCCGAGCTTGTTCTTGGGGTTAAAGTTTCCGGTAGCTTTTCGGAGTTCATTCAACCGGAACTTCCTTGGTGCGGTGGAGCTTCTAATATGATCTTCTATGTTCGGATATGCTCCGTCTGGGTCTTCTTGCCTGGATTTCCTTCTCCTATACAGGAAAAAGGCAACTATAAAAAATAGAATGAGCAGAGCCACGACAGGAACAGAGATCCAAACCCACAACAAGCTCTGTCCACCTATATCTTCACCTTGGAAACTCCAAGATCTCACACAGTTTAATTCTATTTGATCACCTGTTGAAGCTGAGAAGCCCACATAAACATCCTCTGGAAGATAACTGGAGAGATCAATAATTTCGGAAATTGGGATGAACTCCTCTGTTTCATTTGCTGCAATAGAAACACTCAGCTTTTTGCTTTGGCCGTCGTAAAGGACATTTACCCGTATATCTTTTCCATTACTGAGCTGGATGTTAGAGTCATTAAGCGAAAACTATAGTTTTATTCGAAAGGGAAAAAAAAAAAAAAGAGGGGAAAGTTAGTATTTAGTTATTACAAAAGTTTGAACTTTTGAAATTAACTTATAATTAAAGTTTTAAAGTTGATAGTATCAACCTGTACGGTGGAGTATATGCTCCCTACATCCAATCCAACATGGTTATCATCAAGATCTTCTGGATAGCTTTTCACTGTGTCAAATTCTAGAGCCACTATTTGGGAGGATCCATTTGATTTCTCATTTACAATCCCCAGCCACTTCCCATAACTCTTTTCTGGCACAGTGGAATTTGCAGTCAATATAAAGGCCAAGCCCTCGCCAACTGGAGTCCTACCCCCAACTGGTGAAATATTAATCACAAAGGTTGAATTAAAGGAAGCCGTGATCGGGTCCACGCCTCGGCCTCTTCTCCACAGCTTGAACGGTTTTGCATACCAGGCTCGTCCGGATGAATTTGTGAGCTCAGAATCGCGGCTGTTGTCCGGCGTAACTTGGATGGCACCCCAGTAAATGTTAGAAGTATTTTGGGTTACCTGAATGGTTTTATAATCATTTTGATCAAATTGGGAGTAATTGAAGTTAAGACATGCAATCGGAGCAACGGCATGGAGGAAGGCTATTAAGGTTAGATGCTTAAAGAAGCAAAGAACAGACATCTTGTTTAGTTCCAAAAAGTTGATGAAGTCTGGTTTAAATACAAATTACCCCGCATAAAGTCTTACCCTGTTCACAGAAGCAAGTAGGAGAGATAGGTCAAGGGAATGACTTGTACAACAAGGAACTTCTCTACATTTTCTATCCCTTTATTCTCATTTCTTTTGAGACAAAATTTGGAGAAGTAGTTCCCTAGCAAAATTTTATAATGGGATTGACCATTTATGTTCAACAGGCATATTTTGCTGCCAAATTCAAGCTGTTATTTTTTTCTTTTTTTATCAATTATAATTAGTTATATAATAAAAAAAATAGTTTTTGTTCTTAAACCTCCCTCAATACTTATTTTAAGATTTTTATTTTAAGAATCAAATTAAAACTTTTAAATATAGAGATTTGAAGTTGCTTATCACTTTTCGTACTGTTTTGTATTATATTATAATATATTTCTATGTTTTTCATTAAAACATTTCAACCTGAATTATAACCGTAGGTTAGTGAGACTTCTGAGCTATTGCACCTCTCAAGTCCGATAGAAACTCCACCTTTAATGATGAAGCATTGACCCTGTTGGCCAGGTAAGGGATTATTGTTATATATTTATTTCTATATCTTATTATTCGAACACAGGGCTGAATCATCCACTTGTCCCCTCTATTTGTTGGTTTGAAATTTTTTATTTTAAATTTCTGAGTCAATGGAAATCTACAATGAATTCATTGTGTTTTGCAAGCAAATGGATTAAAGCCTTCTATCGTCCCTCTACGTTCATTTTTTGTTCATATCCATCACTCTACTAACAAATTGTTCATGACCGTCCCTCTATTTCCTAAACATTGGTCATTGTCGTCCCTCTATTTCCTAAACATTGGCTAAGCCCCACTTTTTGTTCAATGTCGTCCTTATTTGGACGCCGTTGTTGGGGCCGTTCGTTATGACCGTTAACATGCAAACGGTCAATTGTTAGCTTAGTACATAAGTATTGTTTTTGGCACTATTCTGATTAGTGGGGACCACATGCTGCAAAAGCTCCATTCTTCCATTTTTTTTTTCTTAATAAAAAATGCTCCTTCCCATTTTCACATAAACATTGAAATGAATAAAAAATAATTGGGGTGCATTACCGGCAAACATTCCGGTAAAAATCTACTTTTAATCCTTTACTTTATTAGATTTGTAGGTTTTAACCCTTCACCTTATACTATAACACTTTTAATCACTCACCTATTAAAATTAAAGAAAATAATCCTCATTTATAACATTTTATTAGTTCTACTAACTGATTGTTAACTCTATTAGTTGAATGTTTGCTAACCAAAACTTTACTTTCAATTAATAGAGTTAATAGTCAGTTAATAAAATAATTTTGTTAATTGACTATTAACTCTATTAAATGACTGTTAGCTGACTGTTAACTGGTAAAAACCAACTTTCAACTAACAGAATTAATAGTCAATTAACAGAACTAATAAAATATTATAAAGTGAGGACTATTTTTTTTATTATAATAATTAAGGGATTAAAAGTGTCATGCTATAAGGTGATGAGTTAAAACTTACAAATCTAATAAGATAAAGGATTAAAAGTAAGTTTTTACCTATATGTATAGACAAACCTCTATTTACTGTGTCGGAAAATCAAGAGCTTTGGTGTTTTAGCTTACATTTTCCCCAAAATTCAAACCTTTTTCTCTGCAAAAAAATACAAGGGATCTCGCCTGGAATGAGACAGCTGGTAAAGGGATAACTCCACTAGGCAGGAAGGTTGACATTTTGGCACAAAATTGAATTAGTAAAGCATATGAATTTGTACGGAATTTGGAAAGCGACCACTAATAAATATTTAAAGCACCCCATCCAATCAAGAAGGTAAACTTCACACCATGGAAAACTAACAATATATTTTATAAGTCACTAGTGCCGTAGGCATAGCCCAAGCCCGAATGCAGTTCCTCTAAGCCAACAATCTTTAGCCGAGATTTTAGTTGCTTCTAGGGCATCCAACTTGGTAGTGCCACGAGTAATTATTGCACAGACCATGCACCAGCTAGTGAACCAACTTAATAGTGTTGTTTCTTCGATTAGAAAATAAATTCCGTATCACCAAAATTAACATGGAGGCCAAAAATTTAATTTCATTGATTTCTGCCACAAAGTAGTCAAATTTATAGAAATAAACAAAATGCAGGAGCATTTTGAGATCCATATAAAGGATTTTCTGGCAAGCGGACACGTTTCTGAGGTGCAAAATATGCTTAACAGAACATAAATAATAGCTTTTACTTGTAGGATCGAGCTATTTCAGTAACACAATCCCATTTCTTAATTACTAGGAACTAAGGTTGATACTAGCTCACAAACAAGGAAAGTTAAGGGAACTATGGTTTATAACTCATGGAAAGGTTTAGTTTCAAGAAAAGAACAAACAATAATAGCATTCCTAATCAATGAATAAATAATTCTAAAAGGCACATAAAGCATCCATGCATTTGAATCGAGTTTTCGGATCCAAGTGGTTCATCCCCAAACTTTAAAGCACTTGGATTAGTTGGTTGGGATTTTGAACCCCACCAATGTCTTGAAAAATCCCCTTCCCCAATCCCACAAAAATTGTAAATGGTTTAAAAAAAAAAAAATGCATCCATGCATTTTATCATATTCTATCTCCGGCTCATACTGAAAGAGAAACTCTTGGACTAATGAAATACTAAATAGACATCATTCATTTGCTTTCAATAGTTTACTTTGCCCACCTGTTTATGGTATCAAGCTAGAATAACTTGTTCTTCCTGACTACCTTGATTCAACACCAAAGAATTTCTAGCAACTCACAACCAAGTTTTCCTCCTAAAAAATGAAAAACCTTGAAATGGATTGCTTTAGCCATGGACATGTGGTCTACAAGTATGAAATTAGTAAACCCAACTAGAAATTGCAGAAACGGACTCCAAAGGCACAAACTCAAATTAAGAGAAGTGTAATGAAAATTGGAGAAATAGTAGATTAAAACAACAATAGATAACCAATATAGTAGCAAAATTCCAACACAATATATCCATTTCAAATTTAAACAAGAAACCTCATGGCCTTAATTTCCTTCTTTTGCATAATGGAAAGAACAAAATGGAAGATGGGTGGATGCTGTTGATGAAGTGAAGTCATTAATTAAGGATTTATATTGTGAAAAATTCAGAAAGGATCCTTGGCATAGGCTGATGTTGGAGGATATAGATTTTAAACAGATTAGTCCTGAGGAAAATGAGAAGCTTGTGGCAGAGTTTTTAGAGGATGAGATTGAGGAACTAGTATGGAGTTGTTGGGGTGGAAAGAGCCCTAGTCCTGATGGTTATAGTTTTAATTTCATTAGATGTATGTGGGATACTCTTAAAGAAGATGTTTGTGGATTCATTAAAGAATTCCATGGGAATGGGAAGTTGGTTAGGGGGAGTAATGCTTCTTGTATTGTGTTGATCCCAACAAAGAAAATCCACAAGGCTTAAATGAGTATAGACCTATTTCGCTTATTGGATGCATGTACAAAATTCTGTCAAAATTATTGGCAAATAGATTACGAAAGGTGGTAGGTAGTGTCATATCAGAACATCAAATAGCTTTTATTGGAGGAAGACAGATCCTAGATGGCATTGTCATTACAAATGAGGTGTTACATGATCTCCAGAGGAGAAAGATAAAAGGTCTAATCTTTAAGGCAAATTTTGAGAAAGCATATGATACAGTGGATTGGGAGTTTCTAGACTTCATGCTAAGAAAACTTGGTTTTAATTTCAAATGGAGAAGCTGGATTAAAGAATGTTTGTCCATAGCATCAATCTCGATCCTAGTAAATGGAAGCCCAACAAAGGAGTTCAAGATGGAAAAGGGTCTATGACAAGGAGATCCATTGTCCCCATTTTTGTTTTGGTAGTGGCAGAGGCCCTCAGCAAACTATTACAGAAGGCTAAGGAATTAGGAATACTGAACGTATCCAAGTGGGTAGAAGGAATATGAGGCTAACTCATCTATGATTTGCTGATGACACGATTCTATTTAGTGAAGCTCCAGAAGGTAATGCCTGGGCAATTAAAAGTTTCAGGTTGATCTCTGGTCATAAGGTGAACTATAATAAGAGCTGGTTGTGTGGAGTTAATGTGGATAGCCAAAATCTTGAAGACATGGTGAATGTACTAAATCGTAAGGTTGGCAGGATTCCATTTAATATTTAGGTATTCCTGTGGGTGCAAACCCAAACAAAATATCAACTTGGGTCCCAGTTATTGATTGTATGAAGAGAAGGCTAGATAATTGGAGTGGGTCTTCACTGTCATTTGGAGGGAGAATTATTCTTCTCAATGCTGTATTATCCTACTTACTCGTGAATTTCTTCTTGCTTTATAAGGCTCCAAAAGAGGTAAGAAATATTTTTACCAAACTACAACGTAATTTCCTGTGGGGTGGGGGAGAGGATAGTAGGAATATTGCTTGGATTAGGTGGGATGTTATTTGTAAAAGTAGAGCAGAAGCAAGGTTAAGGATTAGAAATGTGGACTATTTTAACAGAGCTTTGTTGGGAAAGTGGAAGTGGAGAGTATTAAAAGAAAAGGAGGTGTTGTGGAGGAGAGTATTGTTCGAACTATATGGGGTAGATGAAGATAGGGGATGGGGAGGGTGTTTGCAAAATGAGAGAGGTTCAGTTTGGTGGAAAAAGCTATGGAAGCTAGAGAGGAATAATGGATGGCTAAAAGAGGGTTTTGTGAAGGTGGTAGGTGAGGGTAAGGATACTTTATTTTGGGAAGACACATGGGTAGGGGAGGTGAGCCTTAAAGAGAAATTTCCTAGATTATATTCTATTTCCACAAATAAAAATGGGAAAGTGAGAGAGCTAGGGGAATGGTGTGAAGAAGTGTGAGTGTGGAAGTGGGACTAGCGTAAGGATTTATTTGTTTGGGAGTCTAACATGGTGCAGGAATTGGAAGATGCATTGAGGATGATCAACATAAAACAAGGAGAATCAAACTACTAGGCATGGAAATGGGATAGCAGTGGGCATTACACTGTCATATCAGCTTATCATCATCTAGTGCCCCCTCAGCAGATGCAGTTGAAAGGAATTTTCAATCTAGTGTGGAATCGTTCTGTTCCGTTGAAGGTTGTTGCACTGGCATGGAGAGCACTTCATGATAGACTGCCAACAAAATGCAATTTAGCTAGGAGGGACGTTATCAAGGATAGGAGAGAGACCATTTGCAGCAGATGCCTTGAAAATGAGGAAACTCTTAGTCACTTGTTTTTTGATTGTATGCAATCTTGGAAGGTGTGGGCTTCATGTTACTATTGGTGGGGAATTTCTTCTGTTTCTATACAAAACATCAATGAACATTTCAAACAACATGTTGGGTTAATAGGCAATATAAAATTCACAGTGGCATGGATGGTGATTTAGTATGCAGTGATATGGTCCATATGGCTTCAAAGGAACAAAGTAACTTTCAACGATGGACAAGTCAAGGAAGAGGAGCTTGTGGAAATGGTAAATATAGATCTTTTTATTGGGTTCATGCAAATTT